AGAGTCATCTCCCCAGCCATTTTACTGATGTGAGAGAGAATCTCACAAAGCTAAGGCTTTGACTCCCTTGTGTGAATGACGATGACCCTAAGCCACTGATCCTCGTGCCTTCAAACTCTCTCATGCTGTAATTACAGGTGAAAACTACCTTACCTAGCTAATTATTATTAATGATTGTCTCTTCTTAACCTTTCAAACCATATCTCACCAACACCTGGTAAAGGTGGTCCTGATGAATTCCTGCAGCTAAAATTCATGTCGTTATGATTAGGAAAGGAACCAGAGCTTTCCCATGCATCCTAGATTTCCCATGATGCCAAAGAACCTGGGGCCTCCCCTGTCACAACCACAAAGGAAAGCTCTGTCAAACTGTGGCCTCTCTGAGACATGGTTCACTTTCTGCTCTGTGTTAATTGCTTCAGTCATCTTTATTCAGAGCATTTTCTCATATTTGTTTATACACAGAGTTGTGGTTTCCATATCAGATTTGCTTAGTCTGAGAAGTGTTTGCTTTCATAACAATGTCAGACCTTCAAATAGCTAATCAAAACTTAAACTAAGGTCAAAGTTGTATTCCTGTGGAGTTGGGGATGTAGCTCAGTTGGTAGAGTGCCTGTCTCTCATGCATGCGGGCCTGAGTTCAGTTCCTGTCACAGGAAACACCAGGTGTGTGGGATAGGCTTATAATCTCAGCATTTGGGAAGTGGAGACAGGAGGATGGAAAAGTTCAAGGTCATCCACAGGTACACAGTCAACTCAAGAGCAATCTGGGAAACATTTGACCCCACTTCCTAAAATGAAATAAAAGAAAACAAAGGAAGTTCTCTATCTGTGATTTTGTAGTGTTGGTGTGCAGCGGTCTTCTATTAAGACACCTGATTAAAATGATTGCTTAAGTCTACCATGTGCCAGGCTGCTTTCTGTGAATTTTCCTCTTCAACTTTGTGTTTTAAGATTTTCTTTTTTGCCAGGCAGTAGCGATGCACACCTTTGATCTCAGCACTTGGGAGGCAAAGGTAGGTGCATCTCTTGAGTTCAAGGCCAGCCTGGTCTACAGAGTGAGTTCCAGGACAGCCAAGGCTACACAGAGAAACCCTGTATTGAAAAACCAAAAAAAAAAAAAAATTATTATTTAATTTTATGTGTATAAATATCTGATGCATGTATGTATCTATACCACAAGAGTGCCTGGTGCCAGAAGGTGTTGGGTCACCTGGAACTGGAGTGACATGATTGAGTGCTACCATGTGCTGCTAGGAGTTACACCTGGCCTCCCAGCCAGTACTCTTTAATTGATGTGTCATCTTACCAGCCCCTCATTTAAAGATTTTTTAAAAAGATTGTACATGTATGCATGCATGTGTGTGTGTGCTTATTAGGGAATATCTGTGCCATGTGCATACAGGTAAATTTGGAAGCCAGGAGTTGGCATTCGCTAACTCGGAACTGGAGCCACAGACCCTTGTAAGAGGCAGAGGTGTACCAGCAACCAGACTCAGGTCATCAGCAAGAGCAGTTTGTGCCCTTAACCACTGAGCCATCTCTCCAACTGAGACAGGGTTTCTCTGTGTAGCCTCGGCTGTCCTGGACTCTCTTTGTAGACCAGACTGGCCTCGAACTCACAGTAATCTGCCTGCCTCTGCCTCCCTGAGTGCTGGGATTACACGCGTGTGTCACCATGCCCAGTTTAATGATTTTTCTTAAATGAAATTCAAGTTAGTAACTTATACAGCAACTTTTTTTTTTAATTCAAACAACCTAACATTACCATCCAAAGATAAAATAATTTGATTACTTCCATGCTGAAGAATGATGGTATGGAAATATTAAAAGCCTCTTTTTCTGTAATTAATCAATAATGTTTCTAGGAAAGCGGAAAATTTTGTTAATGTAGTCTCATATTTAAGATGAGGTGTTCTGCGCGGCATTCACATGGTGAATGGCAGTTTTGCATGATGTCATATCGTACAGCATGCTGTTGGAAGTCCACTGATGCATCACAGGCCAGAAACACCTTGGATTCATTATGCATTTGATTTTTTTTATTAATTGGGAGTTGTCCATTCAAAACCCTTTTACTGTTGCCAAATTTTTCAGTCCAGTTATGAAACACTATATAGAACCACAATTCATGGTTGAAGACGATGCAGTTTAAAGACATGGGCTGGATATAGTGGCACATGCCTATAATCCTAGGAAGACTGTGACAGGCAAAATCAAAGTCCAAGGCCAGCATAAGCAAGGTCTTGTCTAGAAGAAAAGGGGGAGGGAGTAGATGAGAGGATATGGATAGATTATATGCAAATATGGCGCCATTTGTTTGAAGGACTTTGGCACCATCAGTTGGTGGTACTCACAGGGGTCCTGGGACCAATCCCCACTCACGTCATACCAAAGGATGTCTGCATATGATACAGACTCCTAGATTTATCTCTCCAGCCCAGAGCTGCTTCTGTGACTCAAATCAATACACCCACCTGCCACCTTCATACCTCCATGCAGATGTTTAATAAGCTCTTCAAACTAGCCATACCTCAAACTAGACTAGCTTTCTCCCATTAAAGCCTGGTTACCCCACTTCTCTGTTACAGAGAACCTTTTGTTGTTCAGGACCAAAACCGAGTCATTTTTAACTTCTCTATTTCTCTCAAACCTCAAACTGAAACTGAGGAAGCCTGCTGTGCCCACCAACCTTCAGCATATAGCCACAATGCAACTTCATGTGTGTCTCTGTGTGTGTGTGTGTGTGTGTGTGTGTGTGTGTGTGTGTATGAGAGAGAGAGAGAGAGAGAGAATACACATGCTACAGCACCTACCTGGAAATCAGAGAACAACTCCGTGGTTCCCTCTTTCCACCTTTACGTGGGCTCACACAGGAAGCACTTTTACTCAGCCCATCTCAACAACCCACAATGCAACTTCTTCTGACACATCATCTACTCACAAACGAGCTGTAGTGTCGTTTCTTAGTTATTGGATCTCATACTTGAATATAATGAGGTTTCTCTCTCTTCCCCTTTTATTCTCTTCCTCTCCTGCTAAAATGCTCTTCCCAAGAACTCACCCCTACTTTCATGTCTTCTGTATTGTTTTTCTGTTGCCCCACTGAGTTTAGTTACGGCTGTTAGCGTGAGTGGAGGGGTGTTTTGTTGGTAGCGGTTTTTGACACAGGGCCTCATGTAGCACAAGCTAGCCTCACACTCACTATATAGCTGTAGAGCCAAGGCTACCCTTGACCTGATCTTCCTGCTTCTGCAG